AATATGTTCAGATGAACCATACAAATAGGCAAGAAAAAATCACACTTAGAAGACATGAAGTAATCATCAGAAACAGGCTCAGACATGACACGGATGTTGTAACTATCAGACAGGAATTTGAAATAACTATGATTAATATATTTAAGGCTATAATGGAAAAGGTAGACAACATGCAATATCAGATGGGCAATTTTAGCTGAGAGATGAAAACCATAAGAAGTAATCAAATGGAATTACTAGAAATGAAAAACATAGTAACAAAAATGAAGAATTCCTTCAATGGGCTTATCAGTAACTCAACAGAGGTGAGGAATTGAATCAGTGAACTTCAAGATAAATCAGCAGAAATTAACCAAACTGAAAAACAAAGTGTAAAAAGAATGGGGAAGAAAATAGCATCCAAGAGTTGTGAGATCACGTTAAATGGTCTAATGTCCATGTAATTTGAATTGCAGAAGGAGAGAGCACACAGAGAAAACATTTGAATAAGTGATGGCTGAGAATTCTCCAAAATTAATGACCCATTCTTGCATCTCACTTAATTGTGATGTATTATCATTTTGCACATCAATTTGTTCATATTTTGTTAAAAATTTTTGCTTCCATGTTCATGAAGGATATTGGTCCTTGGTTTTCTTTTCTCGAAATGTCTTTGTTTGATTTTGGAATTAGGATAATGTTGGCCACATAAAATAAGTTTGGAAGTATTCTCTTCTTTTCTATTTTCTGGAAGAGATTGTGCAGAATTGTTAGTATTTCTTGATGTTTGGTAAATTTCACCAGTGAAACCAAACCACAGATCTAAGAATCTCAGTGAACATCAAGCAGAATACATTTTAAGAAATGAACTGCATCTAAACATATTATAATCAAACTTTTGAAAACTAAATACCAAGAGAAAATTCTAAAGGCAGCCAGAGGAAAAAAATACAAAAACCACAAAGATAAGAATCAATACAGACTTCTCATCAGAAACTGTGGAAGCAAAACGTCAAAGGAGAGACATATTTAAAGTCAGGAATTAGGAAGATACTGTTGCATGATCTTAATACTACATGGGAAGCACTTTAGTATTTGAAGTTGATTTCAGATTAATTTAAAATGCATATTTTAAATTCTAGGGCAATAGTTGCAATTTTTAAAGGTGATATAAGTAGTCAACAGAGTAGATAAAATGGAGTCATAAAAATGCTCAATTAGCTCAAGAAAATGGGAGAAAAAAGAAGAAAAAAGAAACTGAGAATTAAAAAAATAGAAAAGAATTAGCAGAAGGTAGATTTTAATCAAATCATATCAATAATCATTTTAAATATGAATGATCTAACCACATTAATTAAAACATAAAAACTATCGAATTGAATTTTTAAAAAAGCAATATATAAATATATGCTGTCTATAAGAAACCCACTTTAAATCAAAGACTTTAAGGTAGATAAAAAGTAAGAGAATAAAGAAAGATATACCATGCAAATACTAATTAAAGGAAAGCTAGAGTTCCTATATTTATATCAGACAAAGTAGAATTCAGAACAAGAAAGAGGGACATTACATGATAAAATGGT